ACACATACAAAATAAAAGATACACACATACACACAAATACACACAGAAGCATAGGGTAAGGCTACTCTTTTAAAAACATAAGCCAAAATTAGCTACAGAAAAATATTCTATGTCTTTAATATGGAATTGAACATGCATCAGTCAAATCCTTTAAGTTAAAATCTTAGAATCATGGCTTGGCACCTGTAGCACAGTGGTTACGGTGCTAGCCACATACACTGAGGGTGGCAGGTTCGAACCCAGCCTGGGCCATCTAAATAACAATGACAACTGCAACAAAAAATAGCTGGGCATTGTGGCAGGCACCTGTAGTCCCACCTACTTGGAAGGCTGAGGCAAGAGAATCACTTAAGCATTAGAGTCTGAGTTTGCTGTGAGCTGTGATGCTACAGCACTCTATGAAGGTCGACATAGTGAGACTCTGTCTCAAAAAAAAAAATCTTAGAATCATAAAATTAGGGTGACCTTATATCCCAGCCCCCTCACAGTGCCACTAATGATCATAAAATTATCTTGTTCCATCAGCCATTCATCACAGGACTCTCTTTTTCCCTCCTCACTATCACTGACAACTCCCCTTGATATACACAGGAGCGGGAGCACTCTGCTTTGCAAGGCAACCCATTCTGGCCAGCATCGAACTCCTTCTTTATCAGGCAAAATCTCCACAAGTTTTACTGTTCAGTGTTAGTTCTGCTGTTTGAAACCAGACATTTATAGCTCTCCCATAAACAGCTTTAAAAATTATTTTTAGTTGTGTCTGTACACAAACTCATAAAAATTATTCTTAAAAGGTGGTGGTGAAAGGGTCTGGTCTTAAGATATATTAAGAACAGAGGTTAATTTTTTTTGCTCGGAACTTCAGTTTTGTCATGAGAGATGATAATTACATGGTTATGCAGAACCTGATGGTCAGGGCTATGTGAGGAGAATTCTCTGGGTAGACACTGATGGAATTAACATTGCAATATTGTATTTAAAGTTCATTACAAAAGAAAACCTTTAACTCACGAACTCAGGGAGCACAAAGCAAGACTTCCTAAGTGTTGGCTGCCGTTGGCTGCCCGTCCTCACTCGCTGCTATGAAGCTATCAGTCTCCTGAGCGCCATCCCCGTGTTTCCAACAACCAGCTGGAAATCTCTGTTCTCCCACAGACTCCTCAGACTCAGCTCATTCCTTTCTTTCCTGCATTCCCTCTCCTTTCTGCCTTCTTTAGCCCTATGAGAAATGAATCAATTCACCAAAACTGAATTGGACTTGTCCAGAGTCCATTCCTAGAATGACCAATTCACCAAATTCAGTAGATTCCCTGTGACACTGGACACAGGCAGCTGCATTTGTGAACATTCTCTCTCCGTTACTAGTTTCCCCATCTCCTCACAATCTCGCCTCCAGTTTATCCACTTTTACTATCTCACTAGAGCATTCTGTTTTGAAAAAGGACAGGTGTGATCCTCTCTTCTCCCAAGGAAGGAAGTGCACGCTCCTGGTTTTCCGGCCTGCCCTGGCTTACGTTTCTGGGCTCCCTTCAGCCTTTGGAAACAAAGAGCTCACCGCACACCCCCTCCTCTCAGTGCTTTAGTTCATGCTTTCTCTTTGCTCAGGATGACATTTGCCCCAATCACCTGTCCTTTCCCATAGCAAGGTCTCAAACCGACGCCTGGTAAATTCCAATCACGCTTTAATTCCCAGGCCAAATGTGCCCTTTCATGGGAGTGTTCCCTCCAGGTCAGTCCTCTCTGACTACCTTCCAGATGGCACTTTCTGTGGCACTCCTCCGGTGCTGTTATGGTCATCTGTTAATGTGTTTGCCTTACTCCGCTGGTCCACATGCAACCATACCATATTGGCCTTAGACACCAGGACCTCACAGTGCCACTAACGATTACTATGTGCTCTGTAAATGGAGATGTAGAAACTGTATCCGAGTCTCAGATTTCTGCTCTAAAACCTTGGCCATGTTAGTATCTGCCCTAGGTCAATTGAGGGAAGATTGAGAAAACACTTAAAACACTGTAAAGTTCTGTGCAAAGATAAGGTATGCTATGTACGGGTGTTTATTCAGCAAAACCAACTGGGTGTAGGGTATCAGAAAGGAAAGGATTCAACAAATCGGGGGGCACACTGCACTGGCTGTTATTTTAGCCATAAACATCTGAATACAATTACATGCAATAGCAATTGACATATTTTTCAAAATGTTCAAAATTTTTCAAATTGCTGACATCGTCCTTTCATTTTATATAATTTCTTAGTTTTGATACAGCATGTGTTTTATGCTTAGTTTGTGGGCCAAGAGGAAGACTGCTATGTCTTTCAGAGAGCAGGGAGAGGGAGAAAGAGCTAATTAGCTCCCTGAGATTGTCTATGGTCCCAGCATGAATAATTTGGCTGGGATGTACTATTTACTAGACCAACTTTTCAGAACTCAGCAGACTGTATCCATTCTACATGGCTCATAGAATAATATTTTGAATAGAAACCAAATTTATATACCCCTAAGACAAGTCATGATGATAATGTTTTTAAAAAGATGTCAAATGCTATTTATAAGTGAATCCTGCATAGGTATCAAAGTTCAGGTGAGCAGAGGGAGTCCGTCAAATAAAGCAACTGCTAAGAATTATGGACTTGTGAATATACCAGCTACACAGGACTTTTTTCAATGACTAATAATTATCATCCTATTCACATCAGCATCAGAGTGATAGGAGAAGGTGTTTGCTGGCATATCAAAGACCCAGGTTCATGGTACCTGAGAGGAGGATTCGCTGAAACTGTGTTTTGTCCTGCACAGACAGACCAGATCTGACTGGATAGAAAGGAGGGTGAAGCACGGTCATGTAGATAAATGGATAAAAACCCTTCTGATAATAAAGGACTCTCCCCTCTTTCAATTTTGGTATTATATTTCTCTTGGCAAAATATAATGGAAAAAGAAGATATCCAATGTTATGGGAATTTCATGATCCGTGAGCACTGCTCTCATTCTTCAGCTCACAGCAGAGAAATCACTTACGAAATGGAAGTGTTCTCAGCTCTTGGCTTTCAATTTAAATTTATTGGTCTTATTGCACAGACAGGCACAAAGACACTCAGTGAAAAACAACAAAAGCAAAAGCACATACAAAATAACGCAGCATCTGTATTTGAATAATCTAGTGAGGTTTATAAACAAGTTGTTTGTGAGTTGACACCATTCAAAGGAGAATCAGGGTGATATTCATAAATACAGTCCTGTGACTGGTGCCTTGAAGGCACTGAAGGGTTGTAGTTTATTGAGCATTTAATAGATATAAGGGATACAGAGACAATGTGTCAGTAGACACCAATTATCAGAGAGTGACAGGCCCCTTAAGCTTCATAAGAAGGATTTCAGTTAGATATAGGGAGTGTTTCTGGGGCTGCTAGGAGTTTGCCCAGTGAGATGGCAAGTTTTCAGTATGGAATAGAAGTCATCTCCCTGGTACAATTTAGGCACAGTGCTACCCAAAGGCAGAAGGATGGAATGGAACAACATCCTCAATTCTGCCCAGACTCTGACTCTGTCATCCTCTAGGACAAAACAGAAAAGCCTTGGGAAGCACAGAGGGTAGCCATATGCCTGGGTGCTTCTGAGACACGGCACACCACACACGCCTTATTCTTCATGGAGGATGTTCTGTTCTGTCGGGTGAGCTTGGATGCGTGTTATGTTCTTGCTTGGCTGGCCTTTAAAAATCCTTGGCAAAATTCAAAAGATGTTATTACCGATGTTTATTTTTCTGAGAGTCAAGTATGAAAAGTGAATTCCTTATCCAGACATGGGCATCAAACTAAAACCAGAATGCCCAACTGCTGAAAGTGAAAAAGTTACTTGTTTTGGAAATGAGCCAAAAGGCCACCAAAATAATTCTATTTTAAAAATAATTAATAGAAATATTTGTAAATCATTTACAAGTAGCTTCTGGAGAAGTTGCACTTCTAGGGGGAAAGTCTGGAGTCAAATGCTTGTTAGTACAAAATTTAACTACAGGGTCTGGTTTGGTGGTTTCATTGTCCTGATTACAAAGCAGGGGGATTGAGACTAGGATTTCTGAAATCAAATGATGTACTTGTCCCCTTTAACTGGGAGAACTGTGAGGATTCTAGATTGTGGTGATCACAGACATCTACACACATAGGAGAGCACACACATACTCAACTTTCCCCCACACCATGAAAGAATAAGTGAAAAGTGCAGAAACAACCAGAAACATAAAAAGTACAAAAACTGAGTTCAATTTTTTATGACTTCAGTGTCTGGTAGAGATGTTGGCTTTTGCTAATGTTTCAGGCTGACAGCAATAGATTTTAACCTTGAATGCATTATGCATTAATGACTCTGGTCTGACAATTTCATGTCTTGAAGTCTAGCTCAAAGTGATAGTCACACAAATGGACTTGTGTTTGGCATATCAGCTGTGCAAATCGGCATACAGTTGGCGTGAAGACAGTTGGCATGGGAGGAAACTTCAGGCAATGCATGTCCTCAGAATGCTTCAGTATGCCCTTGCCAACACAGCCACTCTGATATTCCTAAGGTAATTAGCCCACTGGCATTAAAGATCTTTTCTTCTTCAGTGACATCTTGGGACTATTAACATTCTCTTTATTGTCTGTCATTAGTAGTGAGGAGTGACAATAGGGAGGTTGCAGAAAAGTGGAGGGGAGAGAGGAGGCTGGCATCTGTATTCTGTTTGCCTGGCTGCTTTTAGACAGTTCCATATGCTTTTTCTCATCTCTCTGTGCAGTCCTGGGATTTGGTGGCCTGCCTTGGGTCCTGCCCTCATCCTGCCTTCTTAGAGGGGTAACCCACAGCAGCTGCTGTCTCCCACTGCCAGTTTGTGGGCTTCATTTGATACTGTCCTGGGAAAGTCTTTCCCTGGAGCATCAAGCCAGCTGGCAGGATTCTCTTTGTGCTGGGAGAGACACTAAACTTCAGAAAACACGTGAGGGAACCAGCTCGATGGCAGTGCTAGAATTCAGTGGCTCTGGTTTCCTGTGCTCTCAAGGTCTCCCCAGAGATTGAGTTAAGCAGAGGCACTGAGCCTCATTCTTAGCTTCTGCGCTCCTGTCCCATTGCCAGGAGGAGCTAATTCCTCTGAAAGCGAGGTGATCAGGTGATTGTGAGCAATACTGGAAAGTATGGCATGCAGAGTCCCTGTGGCCCAGCAGGAGTGACGATGCAAAAGGTGGGCAGTTTGCAAATGGCTCATCATGCCTCTGCTGGTGGCCCGCCTGCCCTCACACGCCACAGCCCAGAAGAGGAGCTGATGGGCTGCACTAGCTGTTCCCTGACTCACAGACAAATGCAACGGACATGGTGAAAGGGTTGTTGCGCCCTCAGATTGAGAAAAAGTGAGAGGGCAAATGTTGTCAGACATGGAAGTTTTCTTCAGGCCTCATAAGATGATGCAACTGCTATGTGACTGAGGGGACATAGAAAATCCAGGTAGAATGTTTTCTCCCTGCCTTAGAGGCAATGCAGAAAGACAGACATTACGATGGTGCAGACTGTGCTGTGCTTACCGGGATCCCTAGGGCTTTAAGAATGTTCATCTTGCACATGGGGCAGGTGCGATGATCTAGAAGCCAGGGGTCAACACAGGACTTGTGGAAAAGATGCCTGCAATGAGAACCATACATCTTAGAGTGGTGGTAACTGCAGAGACAACCTAATCCATCACAGCCCAGCAACTTGTCCAAGGTCACACAACTGCTCAGTGGTAGAGCCAAGACTCAAACCTCCAATGCCTAACTCCTGGGTCAAGTGTTTCCTGTAATATCCTGTGATGATATAGTTAAAATGTATCTGGATCCCAGGAGTTTGCTACACTAGTATAATTTTCAAACGAGTCCTCCAAGTTTTCCCAAATGCAGAGAATGCAGAAACTGAGACTTTTTTCTGTTTTTCAGTAGGAAGAATGTCAGTGGAAAGAATGCAAGTGAGGCATTGCATTGACTTTGCAGGATGACTTAATGATGCTACTTTTTAAAAATCCAGAATTTCTTTTCCTATAATCAGAAGACAAAATCTAAGTAATTTCCACTAATCTTTGAGGTCTAACACAAAAGAGATAAAGAGTTCCTGGAAGCATTTAGTAACACAAATAACATTTGAAGTTGTTACATCTGCTGGTTATCAAATCAGAAGTCAGAACGAAAATCTGGTTTGTTTCACTGTGTTTGACCATTATTGTTTTATGGGTGATGTGGACTAATTCATTGCCATTCACATGTGCTCATTGTTGGGGGTATTTGTTCTTGTGGCAAAAGGGGAGCATTTAGCAGGTGCAGGAATGCTTCCCAATGGAACTTTCTCTCAGCTGGGCTAGCGGGAGCCCACTGGACAGTGTGGGCTGCTGGAGGCAGAGCTTTTCCTTTTACCTTTGAGACTCCAGATCAAGGGCAGAAGCAGCCAGAATTTCCTCCCTGGGACAAGAGGAGAGAACTGACTGCCTTAAGTATGAGGGCCTCCTAGGGATGTTCCATCCATGCCTGACTCTCGCTTTCTCTCTTCTCAGTGGGGCACCTTTCTTGAATATTTCCACCCTGTTGTCTCATTTTCACCTTCTTGTGTCTAACAGTTCCAAAATTCTCATTTGCTTTGTGGTAGAGAGCTTTGGCTCAACTGCTTAAAAAGTACCTCAAAATTAGAGAAAATAGTTCAGTTAGTACCATTTTTAAAACTGAAATTTAGAAGAACTTAAATGCCAAAGAATGGGATTAGTTGTATGTAGAATATGATTTGATTAGGGATTAAAAAAAGAGTGCGGCTGCCAGGGAATGTTGTTATGTTTCCATCAGCGTTCAGGGTGCTCTGAAGACCTACTCCTTCAAAGGTGTGTATCTCATTCATTCCTTCCCTTATCCACGCATTCATTCAACAAACCATGTCTAGCAAGAATTGTGCTCAACACTGAGAATGCACTTGACAGTGACTTGGCTCCTTCCCTTAGGGAGCGCTGTAGGAGAGGCAGACGCTAATGAAGCCAGATATAAATAAAGTAGTGACAGCAGTGCTGAGCACCTCATGAGAAGAATGGGGATTTTTGAGAGGGAGGGGCTCTTAATGGGGAGCCTTATCCTATTTCTGGTGCTCAGGAAAGGGTTCCCTAACAAAGTAACAAAGCTGAGACCTAATGTCCACATAAGGGAAGGGAGAAGGGGGTAGAAAAAGTTTGTTCCAGGCAATAGGAATGGCTTAAAAGACCTGAGCTGGGCACTGGGCAGTGGCCAGATGTAGCCCAGTAGATTGAGGTGAGGGCGCGGCAATGAGGAGGAGGGAGTCCAGCACTAAATTTGCATAAGGCCACTCCTGCATCCCCCAGGAAAAAAAAATACTGACCTTCTATGTTCAGTGCTATATTTGGGGAACAAGCTCCTGACCTGAACTTGCTCACTAGCTGGTTTTACTCCGGGGAAAAAGTCAAACACTCTAGTCCCTTTGACCGCCCTGCAGAAGTCAGAATGATGGCACCATTAGCTGTTTTAACACTCAACTCAGCCACTCAATGTTCCCAAGTCTCATGGCCTCATCTGTAAGACTGATATGTCTACCAAAGCAGAGAAGCCTTTCCCTGAGTTCGCTGATCCACGAAAGCTGGTGGTTATTCTCAAACTCCTGCAGTTATTTCTTTCTATGCACTGGGCATTCTTGCATCTTCTCTGTATTGATGACTTTTTATGTGTCCGTGTGGCCCGGCCATAGGACTTAGTTACTCCATCAACACTAATCTAGGGCAGTGCCTGTGGCTCAGTGCATAGGGCACTGGCCCCATATACTGAGGGTGGGTTCAAACCCCACCTCAGCCGAACTGTAATCAAAAAATAGCCGGGCATTGTGACGGGCACCTATAGTCCTAGCTACTCAGGAGTCTGAGGCAAGAGAATCACTTAAGCCCAGAATTTGGAGGTCGCTGTGAGCTGTGATGCCATAGCACTCTACCAAGGGCAATAAAGTGAGACTCTGTCTTTACCAAAAACAAACAAACAAACAAAACCCAACCAAAACACTAATCTAGGTGTTGTAATGAAGGCCTTCTGTAGAAGTGGTTAACATCTACCATCATTTGACTTCAAATAAAATAAAGGAGATTATTCTTAATGACCTGGGTGGGCCTTATCTGATGATTTGGAAGGCCTTGAGAGCAAAACAGGGCTTTCCCTGAGCAGAAATTCTGCCTCAAGACTGTACTATGAGCTCCTGCCCAAGAGCTTCCAGCCTGTGGGCCCCCCCTGCAAATTCCAGACTCACCAGACCCCACAATCACATAAGCCAATTCCTTGAAAAATCTATCTGTATCTATACCTCTATTTCTGTGTCTGTATACTATGCATCTCCTGCTGGCTCTGTCTGGAGAATCCTCACCAACATATCCTCCAATTAGAATATAAGCTCTATGAGAGCAAAACCTTGCCTACAAGATTCACTGTAGTGTCCTCACTATCTAGAATAGCTCCTGGTACACAACACTGGCTCAGGAAACACGTGCAGATATTTATTTATCCAAGGACCTAGGGCTCCTCCCCCTCCACACTCGCTCTTCCTGAATTTCTGTCACATTGCCGTGTCCTCCCCGAGCTGCTCCATCCCTCACCAGCTCAACATCCTTTTTTCTGTATCACTGCAGTAGCATCTAAACCGCTCTCTGCGCACCAGTCTTTTCCTGTTCTCTTCATCCCACTCATCATTGCCAGATATATCTTCCCAAAATATAGCAGTAGTTACGTCACCCCCTGCTTCCATTCTGTTCTGTGCTGGGAGCTGGGTATAAGGATGAATAAGACACGGTCTGGCCCTCCCAGGCGGAGCATAGTCCTGCAGTGATTCCCTGCGAGCTGCTAAGGCAAGGCCACTGAAAGGTCGCACTCCCGCATCCATGGTTTTCTGGCTTCTCAATCTTAGGCAAGTTACCGCTTAGCTCTCTAAGGCTCGGATCCTCAATTAAGAAGACTTGAAATGACTTTAAATCTTAATTAATTTGCCACAATGAGCTATGCTTTCCAAGTTGGATAGCTTTGTGGATGTGTCTCCAAGGTTTAACACTCCTAAAGAACAACTTCAAAGCAGAACTATAAATGTTTATTTGACATATGACAATAAAATTACATAACCACCAAAGTGTAAAGCCTGGATGAAGAGAAATGAGTACAGGAATTACGACTTGATTGTGACTTTTTACATCTTTTACTTGGGGCTGAAGTGACAGCTTCAGTAGGAAGGTAAAGAATAGCATCATTGATTCTTTTTCTTTTTCTTTCTTTCTTCTTTTTTTGCAGTTTTTGGCTGGGGCTGGGTTTGAACCTGCCACCTCTGGCAAATGGGGCTGGTGCCCTGCTCCTTTGAGCCACAGGTGCCACCCGATTATTTTTCTTTATTGAAAAAACATTTTGGAGGGAAGCAGGGAAGGAGGTGGGGGTCTCAGTGTGTTAAAAAAATTATGTTGGTATGGGCACATGGAAAAAAAAATCATTCTGGCTATCATATGAATACCAGATCAGAGAGGGGGAGAGAGAGACCAGCTTGGAGGAGGGTGTGAGAGGAGAAGGTGGAGAGAGACAGGTGGATTTAGAATATATTTTGGAGGCAGAATTGACAGGATTGTAATGGAAAGAAAAATAAAAAAGGCAAAACATTTTGGAGGTGGTGCTCGTAGGGTGCTGGCTACATATTCCGAGGCTGGTGGGTTCAAACCCAGCCTGGGCCAACTAAAAGCAGTGGCAATAAATAAATAAATCAATGACTGAATAAATAAATACAAATGTTGAAAAATGTTTAAAAAAAAAAGGAAAAAACATTTTGGTGATAATTGCCTAGAAGCACTCAAGAAGACTGATCCCTGCATCAAAGACCTTCTCAACCCACTGTATTGCAAACAACTTTGCTTTCACCCTTGCCTCCCCACTGTCCTAAAATAAAATTTCCAGTTGTGAACAAAAACTGGCTCAGCTCCTCATTGGGGAAATTTTATCTTATAGGAGTGGACTTCATAAGTGAATGAGTCTGTGTGTTTATATGTTTGAGAGACAGAGAGAGAGAGAGACAGAGAGAGGAGAAAGAGAGAGGGAGATTGAGAAATAACACAAAGCTTAAAACTAAATCCTGGTACTACCATCAGTCTTCTTAATACTGCTGTATTGCATCTAATTTTTATTATGTGATCACTATGATTTCCACTCTTTAGTGTCACCTTTCTAATATGGAAAACAAGTCACTGCCAATTAAAAAAAATCAAAGGGCTAACTACGGGCATAAATGAAAAAGTGCTGAAATGACACATAGGGAAGTCAGGCCATTATCAACTAACATGCATTTATTGTGCAAACCATCAAATATGGAAATTCTATGCCCATAATGAGGATCGCAAACAATTTAATTTTCCTCCTGAATGGAAAGAAAAATCAAAGTCACTAGGCTAAATAAATCAGCGAAAGAATAGGGAAAGCATCTGGATAAGGTGAAATGCATCACAGTTTAGTACGTATCCCAAGGCAAAGTCCATCTCAACTCATCTTATTTGTACCCTTTGCACAGAGCACCGTCCCTTCCCGGGCTGTAACGAGCACTGGATGAGAAAGCCCCCGGGGGAGGAATGGGGCAGGGTGTTCCACCTCTTAACAGCT